TACAGATGGGCAAGGGGTGACCTAATAGAGGTGTATAAGCATCTCAAAGGGCACTACTCAGTCGAGTGTCCTTATTTGGAGCTGGCGGACGCTCACCCCACAAGGGGTCACAGCTCAAGATTGAAGAAGCCACAAGTCCAGAAAATTGTGTGGGCAAACTTTTTCGGAGTGAGAGTTGTGAACTCTTGGAACAATCTACCAGAAAGTGTTGTGACGGCACCGGGTGTGAGATCGATCAAGACAAGACTGGAGCGGGTTCAGGTATATTCAGGAGCCGGTGCATGCCCAGTACTTGCCAACAGTGCGTAACAGAGACTTGACCGATCGCCCAAGCGGCTAATGAGCCAATAAGTGGTGAAGAGGATAAAAAAAAAAAAAAGGATGCACCTGGGTCACACCAATAGTAAGGAAGAGTATCACATGTCTCAACAAGACGAAGAGACCGCATTACATGAGACCGAATGTGAAAAGGACCTAGGTGTGTATGTCGACAATGAACTCAAGATTGCGGGCCATTGTGAGAAGAAGGTGAATCAGGCAATGAAACTACTAGGTCTCATAAGAAAGTCGTTTAGATATCTGGATGGTCCGTCATTCATCACGATCTTCAAGAGTGAGGTGCTTCTCCGTCTGGAGTATTGTCACCCCGTCTGGTGACCAACCGGGCACAGGTCACTGACCCACATCGGGGACTGGTGGGCGAAAATTTAACAATAATAATGATTCATAAAAAATATTATTTATAAAAAAATAAAAATATAAACAATGAAATAATAATGATCATAATAATTACAATAATAATAATAATAATAGTAATAATAATAATAATAATAATAATAATAAAGACATACATATATGAAAAAAAAGATCAAGAGTGAGAAACAATATACAGGGTGCATGTATGTTGTGTTGTCAAAGTAAGACAAACAATTGAGACCCCGCAATTGTGTGTAAATGAGGCAGAAAGTCAGATCAGCAACCTGGGACTTGGACACAATTTTTGTGGTGCCATATAGCAGAAGGGTCTACCATTCGACAACACATTATGCTTCCAAAATCTCCCTGTTTGGTAGCTGCACTACCTACTATGCTGGAGACTGTCAATTGATTGAGAATATCCAAAGGAGTGCCTCCAGACTGGTGCCTGCAGCTCTACGGAACTTCAGTTACCCAGAGAGATTGGAGCGCCTACTACAATTACATATGGGCAAGGGGCGACCTAATCTAAGTACTGTATATAAACATCTCAGGGGGCACTTGCTCGGTCGAATGTACAATCAAAGACAAAAGTTGTGTCGCGGTTTTGTCCGCAGATTAAATATAACTCGTGAAACATTTTGAGAGCCCCCTCCGACAAGGCAGAGCGCACCAAAAGTTTAGCCCTTCGGCATATGTTTTCACCAAATTTCACGACATGACTTTTGTCTTTCATTGTACGTACTTGGAGCTGGTGGACGTCTGCCCCACAAGGGGTCACAGCTCAAGGTTGAAGAAGCCACAACTCCAGAAAATTGTGAGGGCAAATTTTTTTGGAGTGAGAATTGTAAACTCTTGGAACAATTTGCCAGAGAGCCCTTGTGACGGCACCGAGTGTGAGCTCATTCAGGGCCTGAATTGACCAACACTGGAGCAGGTTCCCATATATTCTGAAGCCAGTGCATGCCCAGCATCTGCCAACAGTACGTGTGAGACGTGACTGACCGCCCAAGTGGCAAACGAGCCGATCAGTGGCGAAGAGGATAAAAAGAAAAGCAAAGGTTGAGTTAGCATTATGCATATGCGGTACATGTCAATCGCTCCCTGTAGTGATTGAAAACACAACCGCATGGAAATGGATGAGGGAATCCCACACTGACATCACTATCCCTGTTTGCTCTCCTCCCCCAGCAAAATGCCTCAAGGAAAAAGTTTTCTGTCCAGGGGATTGAGAAGTTGATTTCACTCAGAATATATCCCTACCCATTTTTGTAATGTAATTACTTTTACTTTTATCCTCTTCACCACTGATCGGCTCGTTAGCCGCTTGGCGATCGGTCACGTCTCTGTCACGCACTGTTGGCAGGTACAGGGCATGCATCGGCTCCTGAATGTACCTGAACCTGCTCCAGTGTTAGTCAAGTCTGGTCTTGAAAGTAACTCACACTAGGTGCCGTCACAACACTTTCTGGCAGATTGTTCCAAGAGTTCACAACTCTCACTCCGAAAAAGTTTGCCCTCACAGTTTTCTGGACTTGCAGCTTCTTCAATCTTGAGCTGTGACCCCTTGTGGGGAGAGCGTCCGCCACCTCCGAGTAAGGTATATAATACATTTAGAAACCAAGCAAGTGTTATATCATAACTTAGCTCATTAAGCATCAGTCCCTATATATTTTAAGAGATCCATACAGTACATTTTTTATACAACTGTTCTAAAATGAAGGTCCATGGTCTCAATAAAATGTTCATTGGAATAAAAAAATTTTGTCACTTAATATTTATTTACGGTTCCTATTATTTCATATTTATAAGCATGACTTACCGTATACATATTGTAAGTTGCTGCCTTGGGCAAATGACTTCTTTGTTCCTGCAGTGTGTCACCAAATCCTCATCAACCAGGGAACGAACACGTGCGAATTGTTGTCTGTTCAGACGAAAATATTCTTTGAAAATTTCTTTATCCAAGCTTAGGTATTTTACCAAGGTACTGTATGCTCCATATTTGGTCAGATTCAGAAGCAATTAGAACCCACCATCTGTGTTTCCTTGTCCAGTTTTCTTTTGATTTACGCATAATCTTATACAAACCCAAGATGTTTATTAGCAAATCATCCTGTTCATATAAGGCTCATAGTTTTCCTGTCCTGGTCCAGCTAACAGAAAAACAGCTGCATCTAAATGGAAACGGGTGTCCATTTTTCTGGACAATTTACCGCAAATTCATACTGCAAATGCATATATATGGAATTCTAGCTTATAAATCATTATTATTTGGGTCAAAAAGAAAACTCAAAAGTGATAAATGAACCTATATCTCAACTGTAACCTCGGTGAAATATCTTGGGCTAACTCTTAGGTCTTGTTTATTTGGTTAATTAATCGTAGATAATTTAGTGAATAAAAGTAATGTCAAGATTCTTTTTTCTTCAATGAAAATGCTAAATGCCTCTGCTGATGCCTGTAGCACCCTTTTCTTGGCGATCATACAGGCTCTTGGACTTTTTCTGCGCTTTTCACGATACTCTGTCTTAATACAGATTTTAAATTCCAAGAGAAAATTTATTCAAAACATGATATGGTGAGATTCATTCTTGACATGAAAGCAAGAGCTCACATTGGTCACGGATAGAGTGAAGCAACTGCAGGCTGAATCACGCTTACAGGATTTTCAATGAACTAGGCCCAGAGTACCTAACAGCAAGCTTTGTAAGAAAAATAAACTAAGAATTAGAGCACTAGTAGTGGGTAGGAATCTATAGGTTGGTTTTTCGTTGAAATTTACTATGCGTGTAAAAGTTTAGCCCTTGTATTGGGGCGATTCCTAGGACAATTGGGGTCAGTTCTAGGGGTGGGGCCAAGGTGGCATTCCATTACAGGGGGGGAGCCAACCCCCTTTCCCCCATGGGGGGCAGATTTGCTATTTCTGTTTTTCATCATACAAGGCCGATTTTGGACTCAAACCACAAACCTCTTTCCCTCTGATAATATGACTTATTTAATATCAAGACCAACCTGCATGCCTGTCGCTCTCACCATTGAGAGCATGCCCCCATTTAAGGCCTGCATGGGACAGGGGTGCCCCTACAATATGGAATATCCTCTTCAAAGTTGCCATACATTGTATCCCGAATTTCAGCCCAAAATCAGCCTTCTACGATGAAAAATAACTGAAATATCAAATCTTCCCCTGTGGAGGAGAGGGGGGGTTGCTTCCCCAAATGGAATGCCAACTTGGCCCCACCCCTAGAGCTGACCCCAATGGTCCTAGGAATTGCCCCAATACAAGGGCCAATTTTTTACATGCATAGTAAATCTCAGTAGAGTATTCCCAACCACTACAGACTTCAGGGAGTAAACAATTTTATGGTTCCTGGTGCTTGCGTCAAGTGAATACACTTTCATATTTACAGTTCTAACGGATTGGAACAAGTTACCTGGCCACATTAAAATCAGTAATGGTATCAAACAATTCAAAGCTAAAACTACAAAAATACATAACAGATGAAGCTACAGCAAGAGAAGAGCGCAAGCTGCTGTATTATGAACCACAGAATGTTGTATTGTTGAAGTGATCCGTCAGCCGTAGTAGATAGTCCAAGCACAATGTAATGCTTGTTATATTTTTTATAGTACAACTTTCACAATTACTCCTGTAGAAATACTATTACTGATTAGAGACCAAACCTAAGCAGAGGATCCTACTGAAAATAAACATCTGCAGCTGTATGACAATTTCAATGAATAAATATTATTACTATACCTTAGTGTCCTTATTTCCACCATAAGCATCTCATATTTTCACAATAGACATTGAGGTATTAACACTGCCTGTCTCATTATTCGTAGTATCTGGCTAACAGAAAACCATCTGATGATCAAACATGGCTTACTAAAAAGCTTTTCTTATGTTATTTAGTGTTAGTGCACGGGGAAACCAGAGGCCGAGAATATTGTGATGTTTGGCAGGGTCACACTGGATAACCCCTTTTCCTGTGTGTCCGGGTTTCAACCCTCGACATATTGGCGAGAGTTGCACGCATTACCACTGCTCCACCAACTTCCCAGATTAAACTGGGACTTTTGGTATTGCCGTTCCGTTGTAGACGATGTTCTCTGTCTCGGGCATGCTTCATTATTGCTTGCATTACCTTAAACTTATTGACCATGTCCCCCATGTATTCTGTGATGAACGGTTGATGAAATCTTTCGCATTTTCAGACTATTGTTCTTATAATTATAACCTTCTTCCTGGAATAATCAGGTCCAGTTGAAGACTCCTAAAACAATGTCTCGTGTTTTAGGTTACGGCCAAATTGAGTGGTGGAGAGGGGTTTGTGACGGCTCTTGTGATGTGTGAACGTCGTCGTCACATATTTCGGGTGAGCACAGGTTCTGCGGAGTTGGACACTCTGTTGGGAGGCGGAATCGAGAGTATGGCCATCACAGAGGTGTTTGGAGAGTTTCGCACCGGCAAGACACAACTTTCCCACACCCTCTGTGTAACAGCTCAAATTCCAAACGACACCGGCACTTACACAGGAGGCAAGGCAAGTCACATGTATTTATTTAACTTCTGTAAAGTATTCATATTAATTTCCTCGAACTCCACTCTTTTAAAAAAAATTGTTTGTTTGATTTTTTGTTAATAATTTTGTAAGAATATGATTTTAGAATTAAATGAATGGGGGTTTGTTCTAAATCATGTTTCACACTTTGTCTTTATACTGTGGTTTCATGTCTAAAGGAAAGGTTTTAATTATTTTTTAGACCTTTTGTTCTTGCTTAAATCGATGATCGTTCTTACTAATTTAATGGCTAATTTATTGGTCGAAGAGGTGTTCTACCTTACTAGAGTTAAAGTGGGTACTCTCTCTCTCTCTCTCTATTTACTTATTTGTTTAATGTTTTATTTTATTTATTTTATTTATTTTATTTTTTTTAATACATACATACATACATACATACATACATATATATATATATATATATATATATATATATATATATATATATATATATATATATATATATATATATATATATATATATATATATATATATATATATATATATATATATATATATACCCCGACTTACGACTGCTTTCCAGTTAATGTTAGTCTCCATGTATAATTAGAAAATTATGGGGGCCCCATGTGCATTCAGCTGACTACATTAAAGGTAAGTGCTCAGTCACACTGTATCCATTCCTCATTATTTATTACTTTTACTGTACTGTATTTCATTGTAGATTTTTTATTTAAAAAAAAAATTAATTTTTTTTTTTATCTATGTCGGACTTACGACCATTCGGACTTACGACCTGGATTTGGGTCCCTAACCCCGTCGTAAGTCGGGGTCTAGCTGTATATGTATATATATATATATATATATATATATATATATATATATATATATATATATATATATATATATATATATATATATATATATATATATATATATATATATATATATATATATATATATATATATATATATATATATATATATATATATATACTGAATATATATTTATTAACTTTCTTTCAGGTAATCTTCATTGACACCGAAAATACTTTTCGTCCCGATCGTCTTCGAGCCATCGCAGACCGCTTTAACTTGGAACAGGAAGCAGTATTGGATAATGTGCTCTATACTCGGGCTTTCACTTCCGAGCATCAGCTTGAAATTCTCGACTATGTAGCTGCACAGTTCCACGAGGAGCCAGGCATCTTCAAGCTTCTCATTGTTGACTCAGTAATGTCACTATTTCGAGTGGACTTCAGTGGACGTGGTGAACTAGCTGACAGACAGCAGAGGTTAGCACAGTATCTGTCACGGCTCCAGAAAATAAGTGAGGAATATAATGTGTCCATTTTTATCACAAATCAGATGACTGCTGATCCAGGTGCCACAATGTCCTTTCAAGCTGACCCCAAGAAACCAATTGGTGGTCATATCTTAGCACATGCTTCCACTACCCGTGTGTCACTACGCAAAGGCAGAGGGGAAACACGTATTGCAAAAATTTATGATAGCCCCGAATTACCCGAAAACGAAGCCACATTTGCTATCACGGCAGGCGGAATAGCGGATGCAAAGGAATGAGGGATATATATATATATATATATATATATATATATATATATATATATATATATATATATATATATATATATATATATATATATATATATATATATATATATATATATATATATATATATATATATATATATATATATATATATATATATATATATATATATATATATATATATATATGAATACTTTACGTGGTTAATTAACTCACAGGGTACCAAAGTGAGAGAATTGAATGAAGACCGGCTGACCCCCAAACTCCACTTTTTCCGACACAATACCTATGTTCTAGTAAAAATAACATCTCAATTTTATGATGGTACATGCACACAATTAATACTTAAGAGAAATAGAGAAATACAGTCGCCAATTTAATGTCCATTCAAATAATGTACTCAACTCCCTCCCCCTCTTCTCACATTACACTCACTGGCTCTTCCCTCTCTGAGAAATTTTTGGGGGAAAACCACTAGATTTTAAGGTATAGTAATAAATAATACCTCAAACTAAAGTTAGGATAATATAATTGACATTGCTGGATTCCTTGTAAGACCAGGAATATTTTGAATATAAATGTCATATATTTTGCACAAAAGATAACATATTTGCTCTGAGTAAACAAAATACTTGCATTAGATCTAAAATTTGTATGTCTAATGCAAAATCTATGATGCTTATATTCAAAATGATCATCAAATTGTAAGAATTCCAACAATGTAAATTATATTCTGGCCGGATAATTTGTATGAATTTTATGAGCTAAATAAAAAAATTATACTTCACCCGCGTAAAGGGGTACACGCACCGCGGAATGTGAGCATCCCGGGTCCCTGTGTAAACGCGGAATGTGGGACCGCGTAAAGTGAGGGTTGACTGTATATATATTCTTGAAGTGGGATTGGGATATTTGACATTTACAAACTTGAATTAAGTTGAGGAAAGGGCACAAGATTTTCAATTTCTTAATTTATTTTATTTTCTAAAATAATTTGTGTATTTTTTGAGCATTACTCTTCATTTATCTGTCCCACCAACAAGAAAGTAGATGTATAAAAAGTAATTCCTTATTAGTTATTATATGTGGAAATTACGGTTTAGTGATACAGTACTGTATAGTGTAATGGGGTTTTGCCAGATATTTATCAAATGTACCTTGCTTTTTATTCTATTCGATATCAACTCCGTGAAAAGTTTAAATTGAATGTATAAATAAGAAAGAACATTCCGTTTTAAGACCCATTTCCACACATGAGTGGGTTAACCATGATTACCTGAAAGCATGGTTTTGGTGTCCTAGACTCCCAGTAGTCATCAGGTCAACCCACTTTTAAAGAAGAAACTGGACATTTTTTTTTTGAACTTCCAAATGCCCTCTTAGAAAATAAAATATATTTAGCCTTATTTCAATAACATCATGTAGTTAAGACATACAAGGTATATTGCCTGCATTCGAGAAGCAGGATCCTGAGATGAGGATATATAGTTTTAGAATCCAACAAAATGTGAATTCATGTTCAGAGAACAGAACATAAGGAACTAATGAGAGTTGGATAGCTTTGAAAAGACTTGATATTTGAAGTCAAGAAAAATGTGTAGGGATGGGTTAAAAATCACCTAATACTTATGATTTGAGACAATTACATGGGACAAATAAAAAAAAGAGCCTATAGATATTGACGAAATGAACGAAGTTAACAGACAAGAGTGTAAGTGTATCAGAGTACCTGAGGGATGGTGATCACAGTCCTGCACTCTAAATGTTTTCAGACTGTTTTTACCAATCCTCTAAGGTTTTGTATCTCTAAGGACTCCATTTTTAATTTCATTCATCCATCCCAGTCTCTGCCTTCCCCTGGCTCTCCTACCCTCAACTTTACCCAATTAAATTTCTGTTATTATTCCCTCATCCCTAATTATAGACCCTTTCAAATACAGCTTGAATGTGACCGAAAGATGTAGGCAGATACGATAATTTATTTTATTTCTATTTTCTAGTTAATTTTAATTTGGTTTAATAACTTCCCTCTACATACAGCTATCTTTAATGTAAATTTTTTTCAATAATATTTTCTGTAACCCTCTAAATTTTACGCACAAGGGAAATAAAGATTACATGCAGCACTTCGTTTCATTTATCACTACAGATACCTGTATAAACTCATATTATACACTAGTTTTCCCACCGAGAGAAAACATGTTTGTTGAGAGAGACTTGACCAGTGAATGATCTACCGGTATTCAACACTCTACAGATGTGTCCTGACTGGTGTATGTGAAAGGTATGCTGCCCAGTAGCTGGCCACTGAAAATGAAAGTGCATGCTATTAGCCTGACGGACTGTTAGGAGATAGTATGGTTGGCACTACATGTCTGTGTTCATTTCCCCAACTGTGAACCTAGGCACCCGTTCACAGATGGTTCGATTGGGGGTGCCCCAGCCTGGGGCAGGAGAGAGCAATGTATCCACTTGGCCACCGCTGACCAGTAATATTAATGAAAAACGTTCTCCCGGCTTGGTTGTGCAGCACTTAACATTTCTTTCATGAAGCTTAACTATATGTTTAGTCACCACATTATGATGATAATTTTTTTATGAATTATAAATTCAGTCAACAGGTAAGAAGTATTTAAAAAAGAAAACAATTGATGATATCGCTGATCAGGAGCAGTGAATCGATTATACAGTTCACATGTGGGGTATTGATATCAATACAGTAGATTGCTTGGAGCAGCAAATGATTTTAACAACAATTTCTTGGTAACTGTATCTGTATTAACTAATCAATATCCAAAGTTTTATATAAGTGAAATATATGATTTTAAATCTAGTGAATTACTGAACATGAATTTTTTGCAATGATCTATATAACTAAGGTTTAATTATAAAAACAGTAATTACAACAAAATAAGTGATGGAGCGAGGCACACTGACAGGCACTAATTTAGTAAAATTAAATGTACAGTACAGTTGTCTCTAATGACTGATGTGTTTTGTAAGTTATAACACCACCAGAAAACAGATAGGAGTCAATGACGTTCTACTTGGTAATCGTCTGTACAGTATATTAAAACTATAACCATGCAGGAAATGCGCACATTCACAGGAGTGTGTGTGTGGCGGGGGACTGCTTATTTAGCATCCTTGGTCTGGTTACTATAGCGAGGGTAGTTTTGCCCATTCTACAAGTTTTAGTATGATGTAAACAAACAGTGGTGCCGCATCTCACAAAACACGCCAGCCACTGTACCCGTTTTAAATGGAATTAACTATACAGTACATAACCTGGTCTAACTTTGTCAAATGTGCAATGAAAGACAAAATTCGTGTCGTGAAATTTAGTGAAAACATATGCCGAAGGGCTAAACTTTTGGTGCGCTCTGCCTTGTGGTAGGGGGCTCTCATAATGTTTCACGAGTTATATTTAATCTTCGGACAAAACCACGACACGACTTTTGTCTTTGATTGTACACGTCTGGAATTGGCTCCACTAGAAATCAGGGTCAAAATAAAGAAGCTATCGGTACAAAAAACTGTCAATAGCTAATTTCTTTCAAATAAAGAGCTGTGAATTTTATGAACAATCTGCCAGTGAATCTGTGAGAACACCAGATGTAAACTTCTTAATTCCAGGCTTGACCAACACTGGTAATACATATTCAGATACATTCAAAAGCCTTTGCATCCCCAGTACTTGCCAACAGTGCATAACATAGAACTTGACTGACCGCCCAACCAGCAAGTGGTGAAAAGGATAAGTAAATAATGTAACGTGCATAAAACATAACGAGTTGTTGTACAGTAGGTGACTATAGTGATTATCTATCATTAATATTTATTGTTTGTATTAATTTTGATTCATCCTTTCATTATTTATTAGCTTATTAGTCATTCAGGTGGTTGGTCTGTCCTTTTTTCTTATCCTTCGTTTGGTGCCAACTTCTCTTAATGTCAAGTTTTTCAAGAACGTAACCCCCATCATTAAATGAGGGATACCTTTCATTTGTTATACTGTATTTAGGAGTAGTTACTTTATTCTCTCACATCCCTTTTATTCCTGCAATATAGTGATCCCTCGGTTAACGAAATTTCGGTTAACAAATTACCTTCCATAAGAATCTTCAACTCGATTAATGAACAAAAATTCGGTTAATGAAATCGTGTCAACATGTTTTCGCCTGCTCACCAGCTGGAATGTTAGTCCGCCAATACAGTAATCGGTTTTAGGGCTTAAATTCGTTACCATTTGAGTAAATATCAAGAAGGTTGTACTATTCAATAATTTTCCAAGTCTTATATTAAATTTTTTAGTCATTTTAACAATTATTTAACATAACTGAAGTACAGGGAACTAGCTTTTAGCGAGCCAAACAGCCAGTTGACTCACCCAGAATGGAGTCAATTTGTGTCTGCTCAGTGGAGGTAGCATCTTGCTTGAGACTCTCTTGAACATAAACTATTTTTACAGTACAATTATTGGTCATTCTGAAATTTATTTTACACATTGACAATATATAGTGCAGTGTAGTGTTGATTTAAAGAAAATAATCTTGAATTACACCAAGTGAACTTAAAATTTTATGGGTGAAATGGCGGGATGAAGCATGGGGTGACTTCTCTTCCACCCCCACTGCCTTCTCTTCTCCTCCACCCCCACTTCTAATTCCCATCATCATCAACCAGGAGCCTTCTACATGCACACCTCAAAGTAAGTGTACTTTACTGCATTTATTTTTAGTTTGTATGTAATTTTCGGTGAGCTGGAACCAATTACCCAAAATCCCATTGAAACAATGGTTTCGGTTAACGAACGACCTTCTGGAACAAATTGTGTTCGTTAACCGAGGGACCACTGTATATCCCCTCTATCGTTCTTACTGCTATTTTCCGTAATCTATTTTTTTTTCTATTTTCTTCCCTGCTTTTTCTTTCTCTCTGAATTTTTTTGATAACTTTTCCCTCATCTTTCAGTTGCAATATTTTCTGTATTCTCTCATGTTTTGTTTTTTACTTCTGATCCCCATTTATTTCTCTCTTCTCCCATCACTCTTTTTACTTTTATCCTCTTCACCACTGATCGGCTCGTTAGCCGCTTGGGCGATCGGTCACGTCTCTGTCACGCACTGTTGGCAAGTACTGGGCATGCACCAGCTGCTGAATGTACCTGAACCCACTCCAGTGTTGGTCAAGTCTTGTCATGAAAGAGCTCACACTCGGTGCCATCACAACACTTTCTTCTCTATAATCAGCACTGTCAATTTGTTATCGTGAACTTTCTATTCACATATAATCTTGTTTTTATCAGGTAATGGACAGACCCTCCGTGTATATAAATACCTTAACAAGTAATTTTTTAATGTAACTTTCTTAAGTATTCTAGCTCAATCAAGCTTTTCTGAAATGTACTAAGGATTTTAGTATAAGAAAATTAAAATATTTAATATAACTCATTTTAATCAGTGAAAAATGTCTCAATTTCAAATGAAAGCTCACTGACTTGATAAAATAATTCCTGTATACAGTAACTTGGTTTACCCTAACAAGAACTTAAACATATCTTAGAAACAAAGATTTGGTAGTTTACCATTAATTTGACAGTACAGTAATCTTTACAGTTAATGACTTTATCATCACATAACAGCCATAAATATATATTTTTTAACTGTGTGTGGTTATCTACAACTTCCACATATGGCAGCCCTTGTGCCATTTTCAACAGTTTATAGTGTGGCAATCCCCAGGAAAGCAGAGTTAGGTTAACCCATGAACCTAGCCTGGCTTTGGGATTGAAGCCCTGTACTATGGATTGGAAAACCAGAGCACTATCAACTGTGCCATTGAGTCACCCAAACCAAAGAATAAGGATAAGGAAAAAATACTGCCTCCACATCACAATAAAAATAATGATACTATCAAATAAAAATATATTCTATATAAACCAGACAACAAGAATACTATCAAATAAAATACACTCCATATTAAACTGATCACAGGGATACTGTCAAAATAAAAAAGACTATCATGTTTTATAAAGTGAAAAAATTAATGAAATGGCTGTTGGTACTTGCAAAGATTAAGCACAAAATAATGAATATCACAGAGGTTGAAAAAATAACCAACCTTAGTTCAAAATATACAGTAAATGGTGTTCAACTATGTTTGATGAACTGCAGAAGAAAATTGTTCATATTGTTGGATAATGCTTGGGGAAACTGTCCGTGGAGTTGTCTGGATTGCCATCAGAAAGTCTCTTGGTTCTACATTACGAGCAACAATCTGAAAAAGTGCATAATTTTATTTTTAAATACGTACTTAAGAGTACTGTATTGTAGTAGGTTAAGACATGATTTAAGAAGGTTTCTGAAGGTAAATTTTTTTGATTGAGTCTACTCCAGTCATTATTATAGGTCTATCAGACATTGATAAAATTTGTAAAACAAACAACCTTTTTTTCTGATCACTCTTGCCATATAAAACAACAAAAACATTTTTATTCCCTACTTACTGATCACTCATCATATAAATAAACACCAATACAGTAGTACTGTACAGGATTTTAATTAAAAGCATGTGCCATATGTTAATTACCTCAATATTTATAAATTTTACCCACACAGTCCCTCAAGAACAAACGTAATACTCAATCAAAAGCAAAATTACCACTTCATTCATAAGCAGACACTGGGTAATCGTAATCGATTAGTTTTTCATGTAATCGTAATTGATTACATTTATATTTTGGGCAAAGTAATCATAATTACAATTATGTTTATATTGTAATTGCAACCATAATTACATTTATGTTTACAAATCATCTTGGTCATTCGGTTTCCTGTAACTCTGCGCTTATTTGTCTGTAGACTATGTTATACTGCATTATATGTGTTTTCAAGGATATTCATAATGGCTGTATATATCCAGCTCTATGCAGTGTGTAATAATATAACAAATAATACGCTAGTCTTGGTCATTGAGCAATTTTTTTTTTTTTGGACATGTACCGGACATGTCAACCAATGAGCTACCTTCTTCCTCCATGCCTCTGTGGCAAGAAGATGCCAGACACCAACATTAAAGAATAAATTTTTTAAGGGTATTGTAATTTGTAATTACAATGATATGGTACTTCTTACTTTTGAATCACAAGATGTTATGTAACTTAGACTTAACCTTGTAAGCTAATAGTATATAGCAGTGTTAGACATTCGGTAGGCTCGGGACCAGCCACACTAACTGTGTCACTGTGAACCTGTGACAGTTAACAGGCTGTAAGACAGTGAGAGTGTGAAGGTTGAAGAATAGAGGTTGAGCCTGGTTAATCCAGCTACCATTTTCAATAAGGTATCAGTAAAATCTGCTGTGTTTGAGCACTTTGACATGCCAGATTCCACCGAAGGCAACTTTATACTTTAACCCAGGTGCAAATACTGTAGTGCTCACTGATATTATCAGCTTGAGGCAAAACTAATTCCAACCTTCTCACTCAAAGGTAAATATGATACAGTACATTATTGTGTACAAACTACAATACTGTACCAGTAAATCCTTGTTTATGTGTATAATGCTAAACTTGAACCTAAACCTGTACTGTTAATTATATATCCACGCTTTGAGGGAGGGTGAGAAAGAGAGAGAGAAATAGAATATGGGAATCAGAGAGAATGAGATAATTAGAAAAGGAGATACAGTGACCCTCGAAGATCCGGACTGAAACGGGAGACCACCTGTCTGAAAAAGATGATTGTCCGTATCTTCCGGCGATTCTACGAAATACAGTACAGTGATCCCTCGGTTAATGAATTACCATCCATAAGAATCTTCAATTCAGTTAACAAAAAAAAAATTTGGTAAATGAAATTCTTACGAAATCATGTCAACATATTTTTGCTTGCTCACCAGCTGGAATATTAGTCCGCCAATACAGTACAGTAATTGGTTCTAGGGCTTAAATTCGTTCCCATTTGAGTAAATATCAAGAAGGTTGTACTTGACTCACCCACAATGACGTCAGTGTGTATCTCTGGTTAGTGGAGGTAACATCTTGCTTGTGGCTCTCTTGAACATAAACTATTTTTACATTTTTACAGTACAATTATTGGTCATTCTGAAATTTATTTTACATATTGACAATATATAGTGCAGTGTGGTGTTGATTTAAAGAAAATAATATTGAATTACACCTAGTGAACTTAAAATTTTATGGGTGAAATGACAGCATGAAGCATGGGGTGATTTCTCTTCCACCCCCACTTCCTTCTCTTCTCCCTTCTCCTCCACCCCCACTTCTAATTCCCATCATCATCAACCAGGAGCCTTCTACATACATACCTCAAAGTAAGTGTACTTTACTGCATTTATTTTTACTTTGTATGTATTTTTCGGTGAGCTGGAACCAATTACCCAAAACCCCATTGAAACAATAGTTTCAGTTAACGAACGACTTTCTGCAATGAATTGTGTTCGTTAACCGACAGTATATAAAAACGATAAATAATGATACATAAAAAATACAGTACCGTATTTGATGGCATATAAGAAAAAACTTGTGTGTATTTATCTCTTGTAGCCATATTTTTCTTAAAATAATATATATACTGTAGTAGGTGCTCCTATACTTATGAACGAGTTACATTCCGGAGACTTGTTTGCAAGTTCGACTTTCCTCTTGTAGATATCAAACATATTGTAAAAACTGAAAAGATTATGGATATTTAGTACAGCTATACCCTTTAATACAGCCTTAAAACCTGGCTCACTCTTTTCCTCTTAGGCAATGTTTGTTCTATCTGGAATTTTCTTCAAAATAATCCAGTTTCATCCACATTAAACACTGTTCTGGCAGGTAACCCCCTTCAGTGATGATGTTTATATCTCTGAAAGTTTGTAAGTTGAACGTTCTTAAGTAGAGGAGCACCTGTACCAGGAAATGCGAGGAATAATTAAAAAAGAAAAAACAATAAATAAGTTACAACAAAAAAATACTGTATTGCCAAATCAGTAAATAAAATCCAAATGAAAGTTTAATGCAGTCGCCATTTACATACATTCCCCGCTTCATCATAGCAATGGATGGGACGCTGGTTCCCTAGCAACACTACCCATCCCCTACACTCTGTGCTCTCCTCCCGCTCCCTCATTGAGCCAGCTAACTCATGTGTAAAGAAATGTATATTCACTTTACGTGTTTGACCTCAGGACAATTTTCTTTTACTTTATTTACAACATATATGTAGGATGGTGTGTGCATGTAACTGAGTAAAAATGAATGAAGAAAGTTACGTACATCTACCCGAAAATATGAGTTGAAAAACAACCATAACACCTGACAGCTTGGTCCAGTAGCCTGGTGGTTACAGTGATGAGTCTAACCTGGCTACAATGCCATGATTAATCACTATTATATCAGTAAACACTAATAATAACAGTAAATTCAGCAAAATATGGCAGGGAGGAGTGACAAGTTACAAAAGCAGCCGACATGCAAACTAGCAAATGCAGTCACTCACTCCCCTTACTGCTCCTGTTGTCAGGCATACACATGGGAGAAATGCATATCCTGTAGTCTAATTTGTGATGATGATGGGCACAGTGATAAACAAATTATATAAACCATGCATTTACCTACAATAACATACAATAATAAGAAACATTGCATCATTACTAGAGCAATTAAAATAATATTCCCACAAACAACAATTGACAACTCTGTTTAAGTTTCCCGCCTCGAGCACCTGTGTCCCGTGCACTGACATCTTAGCTACATGGGCCTAAAATGATCTTTGTTCTGTTTTGGGAATGCTTTTTCGCCCCCGGAACCGCCAAATTTTATCTGAATCTTCTGAAATCCAGACTTACTGGGGTTCAAATCTTCGAAGGTTCATTGTAATTGAGAGAGAGAGAGAGAGAGAGGTCAAAATTTGCAAAGACTGACTAAGTGCAATAATTTTTTGCAGATAGACCATATACTAGACAAAAACTTGAGCAACATTTGTAAAATGTTAGGGTCTGTATTTTAAAACATCAGCCAACTGCTTCATTTTCCAAGATGAGGGTCATTCATTTTATTTCAAATTTATGTATAATACAAGTATGCAACTGTGTACAGTATAGTCTTCATTTACGCGGTCAATTGAACCCGTGGAGGTCTGTGTAAAACGAGAAACGCGTAAACAAAATAACAGAGCACTTGGGATTAACTGAAATAGAGACTGGGCCGACCCCCAAACTACACTTTTTCCGACACAATATGTACGTTGTAGTAAAAATAACATCTTAATTTTATGATGGTATGCACACACAATTAATATTTAAGAGCAATATCAATAATATTAGGTTTTTTAACACTTACGTTAGTAGAAAAGATGACTGGGCACACGGGGATGGGGGGTTGGTTCCGAGGCAGAGGGCAGATTATTGGCCCTCACCTGTATCACCTGTATCAATTGTATCACTATCCACCACAGAGGCTAGCAGGGCCTCCTTGTCAAACCCCTCAAAGTCCATATCCTCACTATCACTGACTTGAACCACCTGTGGTGGGTGGCAGGTGAAGAACTCGGTAATGTTTTGTTGACAGGGCGACCTTGTGCGCACCCTGCCTGCGCCGCTTCCCGCGTAAATGATGGAATGAACCGTGTAAATAAAAATTGTCAGTCTGGCAAGGTGCCGCGTAAATGACCAAACGTGTAAACCAAATCCGCGTAAATTGAGACTATACTGTACAGTATTTCAGGTTGACATAATAAAATTAATATCTATACCCCTAGTATATTCTTATTTTTCATATACAGTACCATACACTGATGTAAGTAAACATTATTGTAATCATGATTATACCTTATGTAACTGTAATTGATTACACTTACATTTTTTGTAACTGTAATCGTAATTGTAATCATTAAAATATCATGCAATTGTAATCGATTACATAATCACCCCATGTCTGTTCATAATTTTTTTTTACGGGAGTTGATCACTACAGAGTAAATTTTTCTAAAACATTACATTAAAATCAACTAAATGTTATTATACCATCTTTGAATATTTCAGGAACAAATTTTTTTTCGGTCACAATTTCCAACCCCCTCACTGGCAAATAAGAGCATGAGTGATATCCCCCATTCCTCCCATTCAGACCACACAGTGTAGTGACTGAATGTTGCCATCTCTGTCTACTCCCTGACATTATTTTCATAAAGCTCAGGACTTAAGAGATGTATTACATGAAATATACTAATAATATTACCATCAAAGAGATCCCGATAGGACTGAATGGATTTTTTGGTCAGAGTGAGGATAACCGATTACCCATTGATCCTTTAACCTTTGAATGAGTAGTGTTGCATGTAGGTGTTTTATTCTGGCTAACACCAGACAATTTTATTCAGCTGAGAGAAACCTTTACCACTCAATAGGCTAATTAATGCTTCCTGTCAGGCATGGTGTGATGGGAGGGGTCTATAAAAACTCTAAAGGCAACAAAGTGGCATGCTTATGTTTGAGTTGTAAAGGAGAAAAATTATTATACAAAACACAGTCACAAATGAAAGAGGGGAATTGTTGATCTGCTGTATGTTCTTAACCAGTGTGAGTGTTAACGTTCCCTCCTTGACAAACTTTATGTTGATTCCAGATCAAACTTAACCCCTACACAACTGGATGCCACTTTTAATATTTTATTTGGCTAATGCCAGATGATTTTATTCAGCACAGAGCGACTCCTGGTACCCAAGGGATTAATTTCCCCTCCAGAATAAATGAAAGCCCACACCATAACAAACTTAACGTCACTCTGAAGTAAACCTAAATTCCACTCGACCTTAAAACTCTCTCCAGAACCCTATTTGTCCTTATCCAGCTTTAGATCTCAACCATGTAATGATCACTCCCCACTACTATTAAAACCATGTCTTTCTCTAATTAATAAGTGTCACTTCAGCAATTTATGCAAAACAACAAAGCAAATGACTGCACTTAATACTGGAGGTAAACTGTTCATTTATACATGAGGAGTTAGTGGTGTTGCAAGTCTTATGGACCAATCATTTTACGGTGTAAATATGAAAATTTAAGTGAAAATGTAGAGGTCTTTGATTTACTTAGTTTCACTTGATGTGAGTCACTGAATGGGTTTATCAGAGTTTTGTGGTTTTGAGAACAATAATTTTGAAAATTAATTACAATACGAAGAGGTATGTTCCACGATACAAGCACATGTGACTTAAGGTCCATAAAAAACTATAAACACAACTGACTTATCATACAAAAACTTAAATAAAACAATACTCGATGTGCTGGAAGCTTGCTCAGCGGATACTGCATGGCACCAAGAGTATCACTAGAACACGGGGTGATTTTGTTGTCTGGAAGTAATAGAATACTAATTACGGCATATATACAGTACTATATAAATCTACTCATAGGACAATTAACATGTAAATACAAATGTAATTTTAGTACATATTAAAAAAAACACAAGAAATATCGAAATAAATTCCTATATACTTTAGCAAATTATACTGTACTCTGAAAAATATACAATAGAAAATTATGTATATCTACCAGAAATATGAGTTGGAAAAATAACAATAACCAACTCGCAGCACGCAAGCACGTGGGTCACTTCACCGCCAACAACAATACTCACCACCACCAACTACAAAACTTTTCACCAACACTAAACACCCCCACCACCAACACTCACCACCAGCACCAAAAACAATAATACTCACCACCAATAACACTTACCGCCATCAACAACCCTCACCACTACCAACAACACTCACCACCATTAACAACAACACTCACCATCACCACCAACACTCACCACACCACCAACAACAACACTCACCACACCACCAACAACACTCAACACTCAGCACACCAACACTCACCACACCACCAACAACACTCACCACACCAACAACAACTCACCACACCACCAACAACCACTCACCACCACACCACCAACAACACCACACCAACACTCACACACCAACACTCACCACACCAACACACCAACAACAACTCACCACACCACCAACAACACACCACCACCAACAACACTCACCCACACCACCACCAACAACACTCACCACACCACCACCAACAACACTCACCACACCACCAACAACACTCACCACACCACCAACAACACTCAGCACACCAACACTCACCACACCACCACCAACAACACTCACCACACCACCAACAACAACACTCAGCACACCACCAACAACACTCAGCACACCACCACCAACAACTCACCACACCACCACCACCACCACACCACACCACCACCACTCACCACACCACCACCACCACCACCAACACTCAGCACACCAACACTCAGCACACCAACACTCACCACGCCGCCACCAACAACACTCACCACACCACCAACACTCACCACCATTACCTCACACCACCCATCACCACCACACTCCCGTGACCACCAGCTACCACTACCAACCACTACATCCCCATGACCACTGGCCACCACTACCTCACACTACCCAACACGACCACCACATTTTATTCATTATTTGCCCCCCCAAAAAAAAAAAATAATAATAATAATGATACATATTCCTTAAAATAATTGTATTATGTTGCATTAAGACACAATCATACTGTACACAGTACTGTATTGTAAACATTTCAACAGTAAGCAAAAAACCAGGAAAGTAAACTAACTAGTTTTTCATCTAATTTATTTTGAAAATATACTGTACTACTGTACATAGTTATTGATTGAAATATAAAAGGTAAATACGATTAATTGCATCAAAGCTCAAGAAAAAATGGTTTAATTGGCTAAAAAAAAAATTATATATAATAACCACGATTTATTCACCCTGCCTACAATTAAACTGAGACTCCATCTCAAGTAACTACTGTATATACAATACAGTCAGTTAGATAAACTAGCTAAACAGGGCCGGACTCAGGAGTGGGCAAAGTGGGCAGCTGCCCAGGGGCCTCCACAATCTGGGGGCTTCCACATATTACATCTGACCTTGGACTTAAAGAAGCCTATGCATGCATTCTTGGACAGAACCATTATTTGAGTAGAAGTTTATCTGATTAATAATGCAAAGAATCATCTCTCTGTAATAACTAATAATATATTCTTTTCTGTGAAGTCCCTTGAAGAATTTTGACATATGCAGTAGCAGCTATATCAGGGCTGGTTGACTTGAAACCACATGAATGACTCCAGTCATGTCTCACTTTTGTGTGTGTGGGTTGGGAATTTGTACACTATCAATACATATACAGTTAATTAAAAATTTCTCAATGTTCTAATTTCCTCAATATAACTGCATATGGCTTCAAAATTCTCCAAAGAAGTGCTCAAATTTCAAAATTTTCCCAGGGGGCTGAACTCCCAGATGTTTAGGCTCACTTCACTGGCCACCCCACCCTCTTGGGTAGTTATAATGAGGGGGGGCCTCCACAAAGAGGCTGCCCATGGGCCTCCACAGGTCTAAATCCGGCACTGTAGCTAAATATTAAGATATTCTTGGCATAAGAACATACCATCTGTGAACCTCCAAAAGCGAGAAGACTGTAAATCTCTAATGGGTTGAAAAGCAGCAGCCATTGTCAGGTGCATAAGATCAGCACCAGAGTAGCCTTCAGTGGCATTTAAGAGATTCGTCCAATCTGAATCTGTCATTTGGAGGGGCAGCGAAGAAAACTGACTGGAAATTATGGCACGGCGTCCTTCCCTGAGGAAATATTTTTTTATGAATTTTTGTACAGTACTATGTATCATTCAGTCACTTTTAAGAACTTAAATTAAAAAAGATGATCATCTGATTCTATTTTCTTTATATCTTCAAACTTCCCCCTGATAAACCCAACCCTCACTCAACCTGAGGATCAAATTGTAATATCTTGCTTTACATAGATCAAGATGGATAGAGATAAGCTGGCATGGAGTAGTGTTAATGAAGCAACTCATTATTATCTTCCTACTCATGGGTGTTCTGTAATTTTAATATGAAATTGACCTCAAAAGTCATAAACTAATAATTAAGTTCTCAAGACTAAAAGATCAAGAAAAAAAGAAACTTCCCTCTTTGATTTCTATACCACCTGACTTTAGTCAGGTAAGAATGTATCTCTTCTTCTATAATGAAAATCTATGGGAAAGTGTGTTCTGATTTACATAAAAACAATTTACAAAAGGTTTTCAGGAATGGAAACCTTTTGTAAATCATGGAAATGTCTGTACACTTCCTGGTATATAAAAAACAAAATGCCTCATCACATTTTTACTTAAATTGTTTAATTCCAAAATAAGCTTTACTTATTTTAAGAATGAACAGTTGAGTCCATTACATTTTAGAACAAGATGGCATACTGGTACCTGTTTGGAAGTGGAATTAATAAACGTCTCTGAAAACGTCTGAGGAAGGCAGAATCAAGGTCCCAGGGACAATTAGTGGCACCCAGGAGAAACACTGATGAGTCCTTATCGTCTTCCACACCCTCAATTTGTCGCAGCAACTCTGACTTCACCCTGATAATGAGTCACAGCATGAAATTAAATAAGAAAATCATGCATTTTCAATTCAATATTTTGTATAAAACATGGCTTGATATTAAATTTTTACTAGTAGTGTACGTACTGTGACTTATGACAGCTCTACTTATAAGTAATATGTCTGCTCTACCTACAACCATTATGATTGCTCACCTATAACCACTATAACTGCTCTACCTATAACCAACAAACACCTTCCCACAATCAATGAAATTAAGTTTACATATACAGCGGACTCATGTTATAGAACAACTTCTTAAAAAAGAAAAACAAAATAATAATAATATACAGTGAGATCTCCATTAGCCGGAACAATTGGTGCAGAGTACTTCCAGGTAACGAGACAACTCTCTCAAAGCCGGAAAAAATCCCTCATCCCCGGAATTTTCCGGGTAATGGAAAAGTGTTCTCGGAAGTTCCAGAAATTGTCCATTAAATCATCTCTCGAACCTGGAAAAATATACCCCATCCCCTGAAGTTCCCGTGGAATTTCCAGAAAATTCCGGCTTTGGGAAAGATTTTCCAAGAAAATTTCAATTCCAGGTATCAGAGTTCCAGGTTTAAGCAATTCCTGCTAATGGAGATATTACCACACACACACACACAGTAGAACCTTCATAACTCAGACTAATTGCGACAGACCCCAAGTCTGACAAGGAGGGGGGGGGAGGGAAGATAGCAGTGCTTATCTGAACTGTTTAAAGAAAATCAGTTGATGCTATGTTACTATTGCACTTCAACAACTTAGGTATTCAACTGTATAACAAGATTATTAAAAGAATATTATACGAACAATAATAAAAAAAAAATTTAAACAGAACTCTCTGGGTTGAAAATCAGACATATAAGTCTGGTTGAAAACAACTGGTGTCACCGAGATGATTATTATTTACTGTAAAATGTTATATGTAAATAACCACAGAATTTTTTTTTTATGAATAAAGAGAAAACTGTATACTGTACTGTACAGTACTATAAAGATAAAAATAAGAAAAAATAAGTGTAAGAGTATACTGTATTGTATGTGGGAGCAGCTGGCAGAGGGGAGGGGGGAGGGTAGCATGGGTGGGTACTTCCACTTCTCCCCCAAGATTCCTTTAACACTTCTTTATGCAATTCCACCATAATCCTCATATAATTTAGGGTCATTTGATGCCAGGTTGATAAAATATTATGGTTGTTTTTCAACTCATATTTTCAGGTAGATATACATAATTTTCTTCATTTATTTTTACTCGTTTACATGCACACACTATCCTAAATACATAGTGAAAAAGAGTAAAAGAAATAATTGACATAAGGAAAAACCTGTACAGTATTCAAATGCACTACGTTAATTATTAAATTTTGTATGTCTTCTGCAAATTATGGGATGTTTGTACTTAAATTAATCACTATCTTTCAAGAATTCCAGCAATGTATGTTACATTCTGCTAAGTCAATTCAGTGACATTTTATAAGCGCAAAACTTAACCCCTATGCCCCCGTTGACATTCCGGAATGTCCATCTAGAGTGCATCAGTTGACGTTCCGGAACGAGCGACTTTTTGTGTCATTGTTTGAATGCCCAGCGCGGGTTTTCCGGTTCCAGCTTGACTACTTGCTTGTCACGCCACACGCTCGGTCAAAAAGAAGGTTCCTGAATTAAAGTACAGTACCTACTTTGGTGGTTTCATTTTCATTGTTTGTCCATTTAATCATGTTGTATCAAGTAATATTACAAAATGTAGTGTAGTTGTATTGTAGTGTAGTATTACTGGAAAATAATGCTATGATTATGTTATATATGTATTTATTTGTGGAATTATTTTTCCAATAATTATTTATATGCATTACTTGCTCAATCAAACACAAAGACAGCATGGCGACAGATTGCATGTGTGTTGCCAGGCACTTTTATGAAAAATAGTGCAAATAAAATATTCTAAATTAATTATTTATAAAAATAAGTATTATGATCGGTAAATATATGTTACTGGCCATCCCGGAAACAAAGGCAAGCAGAAAATGGCCGCTAAGTGTGTAGTGACCACGAGCATTTGCCGTCAAAACAACAGTGTCCCCTTATCTCCCTCGCCACTGCTGCCCCAGGGAAGTTTCTAGAGGGTCAATATATAGTTTTTCTTAGTTATTTTTTATTGTTTTATCATTTAAAAAGGCTAAAAATAAATTTTGGAAAAGTTGATATTTCTCGATTTACTCCGCGTGGGGGATACGGCTAGTGGCACCCTAGCCCGGGACTTAGGGGTTAAACTCCCTCTATTTGACTGATAATTAAGCACTTTGTTATCTCCTCGCCGGCTGTCAACACCTCACCTCCCCCTCCCCTTCCTCCCACCCAGGGTGAAGGTAGTTTTAGGCTTAACGCTTTTCTTATAAAATGTCACAGACTAGACTTAGTAGAATTTAACTTGCATTGCTGGAATCCTTGCAAGACATTGATTAATTTGAGTAGGAACATCACATAGTTTGCACAAAACAAAAAATATTAGTCCTTTAGTATACAGGCATCCCCCGCGTTACGGAAGACGGGTTAAGGAATTTCGCTCTTACGGAATTTGTAAATTATGACCAATAATTTCGCGTTACGGCTCATAAATCAGCCCTTACGGAAATTGGGGTAAATTTTAACAATTAAAAAAAAATAAAATCACTATATAAAATTAAATTTTTTGGTTAAAAATGATAATTTGTTTGGAGTGGATTTCTTGGTGTTTGCAACCACCAAGCGTGGCGTCGACCCGAGGAGTCAGTCCATTTTACATCCAGTGTGCGGGCATGTTTCTCGCCCCAGCAGTTGGATTTAATTTTTACAAACATACAGTAAGTACAGTACAGTGCATTACCCTTATTCAAGAAGACTGGAAAGAGGCCATCAAGTGGAAGAGACTGCAGTAGTGCAAAAAGAAGCCGCAAAGGCATTACATTGGATATTAAACTTGACGTTTTAAGAAGGTTTGATGCTGGGGAAAACTTAGCCAGATTGCAAAAACATTAGGTCTTGCTACTTCAACAGTGGGAACAATCCGTGATAATAAGGACAAAATTAGGTCAAGTGCTCAAGCTGCTACTCCATTAACTGCTCAAACCTTGTATTTTCACAGAAGTGATGTGATGCTAAATATGGAACGACTCCTGAGTGTCTGGATTGAAGATCAGACTAAACGCAATGTGCCACTAAACACTATGGTTATTCAACAGAAAGCCATAAGTTTATATAATGATTTGCAGGAAGAGGAAGGTGCAACTTCTGAGGTTAAACCTTTTCTGGCTAGTAAAGGCTGGTTTGAAAGGTTTAAGAAGCCCCTTAATTTACACAACATAAAAATGAGCAGTGAAGCTGCCAGTGCTGATACAGATTCTGCTAATAAATATCCTGCTGAGCTGAAGAAAATTATTGATGAAGGAGGTTACACACCAGAACAGGTGTACAATGTTGATGAAACTGGGCTTTTCTGGAAGTGCATGCCTGCTAGAACTTTTATTTCCACTGAAGAAAAATCAGCACCAGGGTTTAAAGCATCCAAAGATTGTTTAACACTTCTTCTGGGAGGAAATGCTTCAGGTGACATGAAATTAAAGCCCCTACTTGTGTATCACTCAGAAAATTCAAGGGCTATGCCAAGTCTAATCTACCTGTGATTTGGAGTTCCAATAAGAAGGCTTGGATGACTATGACCCTTTTCCAAGACTGGTTCACCAACTATTTTTGCCCTGCTGTAGAAAGATATAATGCCAGGCATAACATATCTAATAAAGCATTGCTCCTCTTAGATATTGCACCAAGCCACCCAGTAAATTTAAATTATCTTTCTGATAATGTGAGAGTGGAGTACATCCCCAAGAACACAACTTCCTTGCTCCAGCCAATGGATCAAGGTGTGATAGCTAACTTTAAGGCATATTATCTTAGGAAAACTTTTTTGCAGCACATAAAAGCAATTGACGGGGAGGATAAACCTACAGTTATGGACTTCTGGAAAAAGTTCAACATCTTGGATGCTGTGGATAATATAGCCGAGTCATGGGATGAAGTGAAACCCTCAGCTATGAATGGTTCATGGAAAAACATATGGCCAGAGTGTGTCCATGAAATTCACGGTTTTTCACAAGCTGAAAGTCTACAGCAAGTTTAACAAGACATTGTGACACTTGCAAATAATGTAGGCTTTGAAGAAGTCATAGAAAATGATGTGGTTGTGTTGCTAGAGTCCCAAAGAGAAGATTTGACTTATGAAGATCTGATGATGCTGGAACAAGAGCGATCTGCAGGACAAGAAGAGGATATAGAATCTCCACCCACCCCACTTCAGTTGACAACAAAGGATATGTCTAAAGAGTTTGCACTAATGCAGGAAGGTCTGCAAATCTTTGCTGATAACGACCCCAACCGTGAAAGGAACATCAAGATTGCAAGAGCAGTTAACAATGCTCTCAGTTCCTACACTGAGCTGTACAAGGAGAAGGTGAGCCGTAAACGTCAAACAACTTTGGATGAGTTATTCATCCTCAGAGAAAAGCTGAAAGCAAATGATGATTTACAGGGCAGGGCAGAAGAGAGTATTGCCTCTCCCTCCAAATAACTTCCTTTGCACCACCAATCCTCACGCAGCAGTCAACATCTTTTGTGGTAAGTACAGTACAATATTTGTATTTATTCCAACTGTATTTTTCTTCATATTACATGTATATCATGAATTATTTAATGTACTGTATTGTATGTGTTTATAAATGCTTATTTTCATTCATAAAAGGGCTCGAATTATGTTTTTGGGGCCTAAAAAAATTCCGTAGGAACGCATCTCCAGTTTTCGCGTTACGGAATTTCACGATACGGTCAATTTTCCAGCGACGGAACCCTTCCGTAACGCGGGGATTGCCTGTACTGTAGTACATTTGAGTACAAAGTGTGTACAGTAATATGTTGCTCCAAATTATGGCTTTTTCACAGTTCATGGTGCTTTAGAGAAATGGGAGGTGTATAATTAGTGGGTCAGAGGTGAATTGTTGAATTATTATTATGTGACCTCGGTTGGTCCAGCAAAACGGAAAATTCGGCAAGGTTTTGGAACCAAGGGTACCGGAAAATCGGTGGTGTACCTGTAGTACTGTACTGTATATAGTTTTCTCTTTATTCATAAGACAAATTCTGTGGTTACTTTCATATAACACTTAACAATACATAACAATCATCTCGGTAAAAACAGTTGTCGACAACCAGACTTATGTCTGATTTATAACCCAGAGTTCGGTTTCATATTTTCTTATTATTGATGTAATAGTGTCTTAATAACTATGCTATGCACGTAAAGACCTTAGTTGTTGTAGCAGTAATACTATTATAACAACAATTGATTTTCTTTAAACTGTCCCAGATAAACAGTGTTACCTCCACCCCCTACTCTCATAAATTTGCTTTTTTGGGGACTGGGGTCTGCCTTTAATCTGATTTAATGAGGTTCTATTTGTATGTTTATATTTATGCTTTTGATGTTATGATAATTTTTTTTTTGCACATTCTATATAAAGTAAGAGAAATTGAATAAAAATACGTACGTATATATACTTGAAATTACGAGTTTAAAAATAACAACAACACAACTCAAGGGTTGACTAAGTAGGGATGAAGCTGGCCTTACGTCGGAATATGAAGGCTGTTGCTAGCCTGCCTGGTTTGAAATGTTACTGTAGGGTATTGGTTTTTCATTTGCGAATAAGCAGGGTATGCTTTGTGAATATCGAATAGGGGTGTTAAAATATCAATTGCGGATAAGTGGGGTTGCAGTTATCGGGGTTACAAATAGTGAGGTATTCCCATATTATATTTGAATATTTAAGATATTTGAGAAGGGGTGTGGTATATACAGTAGTGTAGCAAATTTCTGTATTGTGGTTTTATTGTATTTTAGTTCAAATATTATGAAATTTATTTAATAGAATATTAGAGCTAAGTGTATTGAATTGCACTCAAATTCTGCAAAACTTTTTTCATATTGTGAATTATGAAGTGTTAAATAATAAAGCTCTACTGTACCTTTTTATTACCAATTTTACTATAAGGTACTAAACTAAGCAGTTGATTTTCTTACAGTAAACACAATTCAGCTTTACTATAATTTCCTGCTGATACAAATGTAAACACTAATGAGAATTGATGCAGAGGAGAGACAGGTATGGCAGAAGAACAAATGAATCCATTTCAAAACAGAGAAATGCTAAAACTCTAGTGAACAGTAATAGTGAAGTAGAAAACTTATTATGGTACTGTACTGCAAAGAGAGGTTGTGGTTTACAAATTTGAGGCAACAATTTAGTGCAAATAATATAAAATTTTCTTTTAAGCAGCAATAAAAGGCAAAACAAAAAGATAAATGTGGATAAATCATCGTGATGACAAAAGCTAGTTACTTACCTGCGAATGTGTTCATCTTCTGTTAATGAGCGTTTTCGACACAAACTGTCAATTTCATCTATAAAAATAATACTCTGGCTACACTGCTGCCGAGCATGCTGGAACAAGTCTCGGATCAACCTGAAAAAAAATATAAAATACATGTTAAAACTTACATTCAAATACTGTATCAAAAATACATAATTCAAATTAAGGAACAGTACAGTATTATGATGAAATCTGGCTCAAATTTTTTTTTTCCCTCTGGGAACTTATCATTATTAAGAGATTTTTTCACATGAATAAGTTGTTCCCAAATGTTTCAGTAACTGAAAAAGTACAGCACAGGGGCCCCCCAAATTCGCAGATTTTTATTTCACGGTCCTTTATTATTCGCGAATGACACCCTGGATGTACCCAAGAATGTCTGTGGGTAGTTTTAAAGTTGCCGACATTTTTGCGGCTGGGACATTGAGCCAGTTGTTCTAGAGACAGTAATTTCCTTTACCTGTATTGTAAATAGGTGTGTGTGTGTAGACAGACACACAAAACACATACAAATAAATAATAATTGGACAAAACTCGCAAATAATCAGAAAAAATAAAAAATAAATGCGAGTCTACCCTCAAGTCCCTGCTTTATTACTTTATTAATAAAGCACGAACTTGAGAGTAGACCGTCACATTTTTAATAAATCTGTTTCTGATTGTTTGTGAGAGGATTTTCCCATTATTATTTATTTGTATGCATTTTGTGTGTGTGTGTGTGTGTGTGTGTCCACACACACACATATACACAATGCAATACATATATACAATCAGAAACAAATTTATTAAAAATGTGACAGTCTACCCTCAAGTTCGTGCTTTATTATTAAAGTAATAAAGCACGAACTTGAAGGTAGACCGTCACATTTTTAATAATTTTTTCTGATTATTTGTGAGAGTATTTTCCCATTATTATTTATTTGTATGTGTTGTGTGTGTGTGTCTACACACACACACACACACACACACACACAGTCTCTCCTCGACTAACGACATATTCGACTTACGACAACCTGGACATATGGCGTCCATGGTCGTATAAGATATTTTTCACATTACGTATTTTCGAGTCCCAACGTTAGTGATCGCGGTGTGTGCTGACAAAATTTTCGTTAGCAATTCCCTTTAAAATGGCTGGCAAGCGTAAAAGTGAGAGTTCTCGTGGTGCTGAGAAGAAAAAGAGACACCCATTTTAGAATTTCTATGTATTATTTTCGCCTTTTCGACTTGCAACCAATTAAGACTTACGAACTGGTCGTCGGGACGGAACCCAGTCGTAAGTCGAGGAGAGACTGTATATGAATGATCACTTAGCGAAGGTTTTCGAGGTCCCTAACCCCATTGTAGCAGTCATTGTCTGTACCAACGAAGCCTTGTACTACTGCTTCAATTTCTGAACTGCATAACATATAACCACAATTCATTTGCAAGTAATAACTACAGTATAAACTAACTTCTCAGATTCCCCAATCCAAGAAGAGAGGAGGTTGGCAGATGATACACAATAAAATGGACAGCGAAGCTCTGAAGCCAAGGTTCGAGCTAGCTTGGTCTTCCCGGTACCTGGAGGACCATAAAGAAGCAAACGCGTCCACGGCTTTGCTCCACCTGTCAATATATTAAAATGAATACTTTGTAATTTAGTCACATTTAATAACTGTAGTCAAATAATATTCCTCCATCTTCTGCAATATCAACTTTAATTCTTCCATTTCTGTGTGTAGTAGAACAGGAACACAAAAATCTCTAGAAGTGTGGTAATTGTAGGGGAAAGTGTTGAAAGACAATACAGGACTGAAACAATATACTGTAATACAGTACAGTAGTACAGTATAGTACAGTACATTGCTTTATCCAAGAAGTTCTGGTACACAAAAGCTTTGGTCTGAGTGATATACAGTACAGTATTAACCCGCTTTATGCGGTTTCACTTTCCGCGATATCTCATTTACGCGGTGCCTCGCCAGAACCGAAATTTCACTTTCCGCGGTGCATCTACCCATATACGCGCAGAGTGTCTGGCTTGACGCTATTTTTAGATTCGACCCTCCCGCCTGGGCAAGCCGCGCGGAAAGGATGCGCAGTGCATGTCTCTGTTACGTTATCAGTGACATCATATGGCGTATCGGACTGTGATTGGCCATGCATCCTTACCTCCCTCCGCTGCTAGCTGTGATTGGTTTAAAGTAATATGACGTGTCCACCCGCGGGAGGAAGGGAGGAAAGACGAAGCTTGACCTAACCGCGGCAGTTTCATCCCTCCAGGCCACACCGTGTATACGTGCATCCATTGTTCTGTGAAATGGCTTCAGCCGGACCACCGCCACCAGAGAGAAACCTTTCCTTACCTGGACCCAGCCGCCCTAAGCCAAAGAAGATACGACGTTCCTTAAGCTACAAAGTGAAATACCAGATAATTCAAGATTTGGAGAAAGGAACACGTCAAGCTGATCTCGTGTGCCAGCATGGAGTCAACGAATCTACGATTCGTACTATTAAGAAGGATGCAGCCAATATCAAAGAGCACATGAGAATCACAAAGTCTGCAGGTGCTTCAATGATCAAGTATTGCCAGAACAAGGTGCTGCTAAAGGTGGAAAATTTGCTGGCGAGTTACTTGATTTGTCAGGCGCGACGCAACATGGTGGTGGACACGCGATCCGTTCAAGAGTACGCACGTGAACTGTATGCAGCAGTGTCACGTAAGATGGGAATTGCAGAGCCCAAACCCTTCAATGCTTCCTCTGGTTGGCTGCATAGGTTTAAGAAGAGGAACAATATCACCAACATCAACACTGGTGGTGAAGAAGCGAGTGCTGACCGTGTGGTGGCTAGAGATTTTCCTCCATTCTTACGTGAGGTTATGGAGGAAGGGCAGTACACTGACGACCAGGTGTTTAACATGGACGAATCCGGCCTATTTTGGAAAAAGCTGCCTACCAAGACCTTTGTTGTCCAGTCTGCCAGCAAGATTCGGGGTCGGAAGTTGCAGAAGGAGCGCATCACCTTCCTCTTTACCACCAATGCCTCCGGTACCTGTAAACCAAAGTTATCGGTGATTCACACAGCCCGCAAGCCGCACGCCTACAAGAATGTGGACATGAGCAAGATTAATGTCCACTGGCTGACCGCACGCAAGGCGTGGATGTTCTCTGCTCTGTCACTCTCCTAATTTAATGACTGTTTCATTCCCGACGTGAAGAAATTCTGCGAGCAACAAAATGTTCCATTCAAGATTTTGTTGCTCCTTGACAACGCACCAGGACACTCGCCCCTACTTATGGATCGTCACCCTAATGTAAAAGTGGTCTTCCTTCCTCCCAACACTACGTCATTAATCCAGCCCATGGACCAGGAGTTGATCTGCAATGTGAAAGCTGCATACTCGGCAAAGAAATTCAAGCTCCTGAATGACTGTACCAACACCAAGGATGAGTTGCATAAGCTGGGTGACACCGATAGTGAGAGCAAAAGCGACGAGGACAAGGAACAAGAGGTGGTGACTCAAGAAGTTCTCGTCAAACAGTTTTGGAAAAAATTTAACGTCAAACAAGCTGTAGACTTCTTGGTGGAGGCATGGGATCAGCTATCTATAGCTACGATTCGTCACGCATGGAGGCATGTGTTGCATGGTATACCAGGTGAGAGGCGGAGTCAACCTGTGACTGGTGAGGTTCAGTCTGTGACAGTGGCATTGGACCTTGCAAGAGAAGCTGCACACAGTATTACAGCTGAAGGCTTCTCCGAGACCACCAACGAAGACATCCTGGAGGTGATCAGAGATCCTGAAATGACTGCCGACGAGATATTGGAAGATGATAACGTCAGTGAAGAGGAAGGTGGTGCGTCAATCCCAGAAGAACACAAATTAATGCATAGTAATATTATGGGTGCCATCGAGTGTGCAGAGAAATTAAAGCTCGTCCTTTCCAACGACCCTGATGATGACCGCTATGAAGTCTTCCATACCCGGCTGATGCAGGCTATGGAGCCGTACATAAGGTGTATCAAGACAACATCAACACTAGCCGTCAAAAAACCATTACCGAGTTCTTCGCCCGCAACCCACCACAGCCAGCCAGAGCCAGTGAAAGTGACTTTGAGGGATTTGTCAGGGAGGCCCTGACAACTCTGACTGATAGTGATGGTGATTCACCTAGTAATGGTGATTCACCTGAGGGCCAGTAATCTGCCCTCTGCCTCGGAACCAGCCTCCATCCCCGTATGCCGACCCATCTCTTCTACTAACGTAAGTGTTACACCCAACCTTTAGTTTTCCTAACCTAACCTATATTTTTCCTAACTTAACCATTATTTTTCCTAACCTAAACTCTTCTATATTAATTGTGTGTGCATACCATCATAAAGTTAAGATAATATTTTTACTACAACATAGTTGTGTCGTCAAAAAGTGGAGTTTGGGGGTCGGGCCAGTCTCTATTGGAATTAATCCCATATGTTCTGTTGTTCACTTTACGCGGATTTCACTTTCCGCGGTACACTGTGGGTTCAATTGACCGCATAAATCGGGGTACTACTGTACTTCCCCTCCAAATACAATAGAAACTTGTATACAGTATTTGAATGAGAAGACATGGAGACTTATTAAACAACGTGAAAAGCTTGCCTTACCACTGCAAATTGGAGATTTTTATGTATACAGTATACAATGGGATCTCATTTTGTGTGGGTATATCATACTGGTATACATCCCCACATTGGAAATCCGTGCAAGCGATACCCTTTAACATCAGTTAAAATCGCTATACTGTTCTGGACTCGCCAGACCTTTACTTTAGGTAACCAACTTAACCTTCCAACAGTGACACATACTGTCTTGTCACAGAAACTTCATCTACATTATTAAATAAATATCTTAAGAAAGCCAAGGAAGATAATTATGTAATACTCCACCACCTCCACTAAATAGTGGAGGTGTGGGAAGCTCTGGAGGACGATGGGGGTCCAGGAAGAGGGAAATGAAAGCTAGTTGGTATTCAGAGCTTTCAAAATCAACTCCAGACATTTGTAAAGCGACTTCAACTTCATCACCAATCTCCAGAACGGGAGCGTCATTGTCACTGAAATCTCCTTTAATTGTTGAGGCATAAAATAGACAGTGATGAGAGCTTGGTGGTGGCATTTAAACTCCTGATAACATTGCCTGTACGGTCCCTCGGTCTGCTCTGGTACCGCCACACCACCAACATCGATTTAGCTTGTCGTTTTATTTTGAAGTCATATTACAAATTATATATCGTATTTTTTCTATTTTTAATCTATTATTTATGAAGAAGCATACACCATAAGAGGCTGATCATATGAAAATATAATAATGAATAAATAACAACGAACTGGCAAATGCAGCACGACAAGTCCCCCCATCCCCCTTTTACGGAGAGAGGGGGCGAGTGGTCAAAGAAAAAAATGACCATGTCATTTATAACGACCTATATTGTAACGACAACATGCAATTTCAACATAATTCCTCTATTATTTAGGTTCATTTGGTGCTAGGTTAATAAAACAAGAAAAATTATTAATTTTCCTCAAAAAACCTAACACTCAATCACAGATAGCTATTGCAGTCTCTTGTTTAAAGTACGTAACGATCTTCAAGAGTGAAGTGCTTCCCCATCTGGAGTACCGTCTGGTCCCCGAGATATATTAGGGACTGTCAGTTGATTGAAAATGTTCAAAGGAGGGCCACCAGACTGGTGCCTGCCCTTTGGCACCTCAGCTACCCTGAGAGATTGGAGCGCCTGAGCTTGCCGAGCTTATACTACAGATGGGCAAGGGGTGACCTAATTGAGGTGTATAAGCATCTCAGGGGGCACTACTTAGTCGAGTGTCCTTACTTGGAGCTGGCGGACGCTCGCCCCACAAGGGGTCACAGCTCAAGATTGAAGAAGCCGCAAGTCCAGAAAACTGTGAGGGCAAACTTTTTTGGAGTGAGAGTTGTGAACTCTTAGAACAATCTTCCAGAAAGTGTTGTGATGGCACCGAGTGTGAGCTCTTTCAAGACTTGGCCAACACTGGAGTGGGTTCAGGTACATTCAGGAGCCGGTGCATGCCCAGTACTTGCCAACAATGCGTAACAGACGTGACCGATCGCCCAAGCGGCTAACGAGCTGATCTTTTGGTGAAGAGAATAAAAGAAAAGGAAAAGTAATCAGAGACGTGACCGACCGCCCAAGCGACTAAAGAGCCGATCAGTGGTGAAGAGGATAAAAGACAAAGTACCCAGCAGTATCAGTTGATCGTTCCTGCTCTCCCTAACAATGTTGCCAGCACTCACCATCTTTCAAGCACTGAATTTTTTGGTAATTCCAGTAACCCAGAGTCCCCATTTTGTCAAATTAACCTAAATAAGCAAAAGACCATTAAATTAATGTTATACCGCTACCTGCCCTACCCATTGCTTTCCCCGTAAGCTACAATTATGGTCATATTTCAACCAATTGAGAGACCTACATAAAATGAGACCCCACGGTACAGTGTACTATTACTGCCCTCCACACACACATTTCCTCATTTACAGTGTACAACACATCATACCAATTAAATTACATACTAAGTGGAGCCATCAAGTTTGATTTTGCTAATTTCATACTATCAGGTGCCGCTGCATTATATATCTGTAATTTCAAAGCAATAATGAATTAATTTATTTACCTTGGAAGAGTTGTGGGTATTGTATGGGCATGATCACAGCTTCCTTTATTATTTGCTTTGCCTCATCAAGACCTGCCACATCTTGCAGTGACCCATCTCCAATATTGCAAGGTAACAACATATCTTGTATTGTTAATCTATGATTGGTTTCTCTATACCCCTTATCTGCATTTTGTTGAAAGCAGTCCCCATGGGCTTTCTTCACATAATCTGGAAAAAGTAAATGACCCTATATTTCTGATTACAGTACTGTACTTCTGAAGCATGGAAGCTAGATTAGAAGAATAGACTGAGTAGTACATTACATCTTAGATATTATAATTAATGCAACAAGATAGTGTATTTAAGTAGAGGAAGTTCAATTTTGAAAAAAGCATTACCATGTTTTACGGCATATAAGATGCCAATTCCCTAGCCCTCCCCCCCCACTATGCCAGCTAATTAATGTGCAAAGAAATGCATATTCCCTTTATGCGTTTGTCCTAAGGACAATTATTTCTTTTACCTTTTTCACAATATGTATGTAGGATAGTGTGTGCATGTAATTGAGTAAAAATAAATGAAGAAATTCACGTATATCTACCCGAAAACACAAGTTGAAAAACAAACTTAACACCTCACAGCTTGGCCCAGTAGCCTTGTGGTTACAGTGACGAGTCTAACCTGGCTATAATGCCACAAGCGATATTAACAGACACAAATGTGAAAAGAAAGTTGCCTGTAAATCTTCATTTGTATCAGGTATTTGTAGATTTAAAATTAAATGTTACAGGTATGGCATTACAGTAATAGATTGCAATGTTTGTAAGCGTTCAGAAATGGTTACTGCTTAGCTACCTCTGAAGAGTTGGGTGTCTGCCATATGGACATTAATCGTCACAGGTTATCATCAGCAGTACAGTACAGAGTAGTTATAATTTGAGCTTTTATATTTACAATAATTATTTAAGCAATTGGGGGATTCATTAGCTTACGGGAGACTGCAATTTCATATATAGGAAGCAAGCTGATTTTGTTTTGCCATTTTTCAAACAAAAAGTGCATCTTATATGCCCAAAAATATGATGTACCCTAGTTTAAGGAATCTGAAATAGTATACAAAAACCAGAAAAATGAGAGCACCTGAATTAGATGTACTGTGCTAAAAGCTACAGTTTTATGTCTCATGAAAATTCATAAGATAATTAGAAGAAGCAGACTGTTCAAATGTGAACCCATATACAGTATTAACATACCAAGTTTAATCAAAATTAAATTAAAGGATTTACTCTGCTTCCAATACAAACACAGAGAGAAAGACCCACAGATACCTAGGCAATACTGGACATATTCTTATCACTTATCTTGACTACCAGGGGAATGAAAGTACAGCACTTGTTTTGGGAAACCTAATTCTTCAGACTGAATATCATCACTACAGTATTTAGGAAGGCTTTCATAACCAGATCACATGAACAGTAAAAACTTGTTCCCTATTGACTTCTTTTTCTGTTTGTATGACACTTATCTTTTCATAAGACTATTTCTCAGAAGAATGAAAAAATCTAGCTCAAGCCAGACAATCTAACGGTCTTGTGAGTTCCACCTAAAAATATAATTAAAATGACTTCAATGTGAGGGGGAACAACAAATGTTTGCTATTAAAGGTTGGTAAATCCTTCACCATGCCAGAGTAATGTCTCAAGGACCATACTAAGACAATATTGACTGAAAATAATTGTTATTAAACTTGCCTTAGGTTGTAGTTGTGTGTATACATACACCAGGCTTTTTTATTTAAACCCATTCCTACAATATGTGTGAATCATCATGAGACACAGCAAACCTACAGAATCCCTCCATTTCTATATTCCTCTATGCAAGAGTAGAGATTAAAATTTACTACTTACCAGAATATTTGAAAGGTCGTCTATCTTGTGAAGGGCCATGATGGTGAGAATCCAATGTAGATTTTTGGAAGCTCAGAGTTTCTAATAGATTCTCTAAAGATGTCTGAAATGCACAGACAAACAAATTTGTAGAATATTTACCACTCGATAAGATGAACAGATGAAGTGTTTAATCTATGACTTTATTTGTAAGATGAATATAGTATAAAATTCTCCCTCTGAAATTCAATGTTGTATTATAAATACAGATTTTATGAATGACTCAGGACTTACATAGCTCACTTATTCTTCAGAATTGAGCCCAGTTTGTCACACTTGGCTACATCAACAATGTACAGTACTGTTAGAATAGCTGCTTTACTACCCAAAGAGTACATTAAATTGGAGGATGAAATCCTTGGATAATTCTAAACCACAATGTCTCTATGGTAAAATGTCAGATTCTGCATAGTTCCATGTTACAATACATTTAAAATGTTGTATTAATGAAAGTGACTTTGATGTGAAACCCCCGTAGGTTTTTGTAATCATTTATTCACAGATGTCTTATGTACAGCAGTACAGCGTGATACAGATGGTTGACACAGGTGCAATGAGACAAGGACCGTGTACAACCAAATGAGATAAAGGCAGTTACAGGGGGGAGGGGAGGTAATGTGGACTGGCTGGTGAGCGCCCCAGACCACTCCCATGAAACTATGCAGAATCTGACATTTTACCATAGAGACATTGTGGTTTAGAATTATCCAAGGATTTCATCCTCCAATTAAATGTTCTCTTTGCTGAATCACCCTGTACTGTATATACAGAGTTGGTTGTTATCATTTGTGTCAGAAGTGTCACCGAGTCCAGAGCTAAGCATTATTGCACTAGCCTTCATTCACTTTCATGCCAACACAGAAAAGTAGGTTTTCAGGAAACAGTCCCTACATCTTCACTGCTTGACTTCATGTCAGTTAGATCTCCTGGACATAGTACAATTACAGTAACTAGATTATCATCATTTCACTTCTGATATTATTTTATATGAAAATGTGATGTATAAGAATTGATTTTGTGGTAATCATGGAGTCTTTAGTCATTTATTAAGGTGAAATGTGGGTTCCCTGATAAGCCTAAAGGCAGTGCAGATACAGAACACTGTAAATTAAAACTTTGGTATAAAAGGAGGCAGTGTGGCCCACAATTCACCTGACTGCCGAGTGTCTACACTTCCCAACTGTAAAGTTAGGTATCAAGTCATAGATTGGTGGACTAGGGGGTGCCTTGGATGTGAACCAGTAATCCTCGGGACAAGAGGCAAGTACTGCACTATCCTATTAGTCAACAAGCATTCAAATGTTTTCTGTTAATCAAGATGTAAGTTGCTTCTTTCTTTTGATCAGTGTTCCTAATGAATTCTACTAAACTGTTAGTAGGTGGTAATGACATCATAACCACTGTCCACAAGTGATCTCCATACTCAAGAGTATATAACAGCCTGTCTGTCTGTAAATTTTTATCATTAGGAATTTCTTTCTAGGAGTAGACATTTCAGTAATCTGTGGTGATAACCAGAAGAAACTGTTATAAACATAGACAAAGTTTCCACAGCTGCATATAAGATCTACTTTTGGGCAGATCTTACAAAACTTGCTTCCATTTATTTGATTGACAAAACTTGGGAGTCCTTCAGGGAACCCAGTTGATGAAATTGGTGAGGAATTTCACAAGAGTAGAGTAATAGCTTTGTAATAGCAATATTAAAGTCTCATATCTTACTATGGTATACAGTATTGGAATTATTCCCCAGTCAAACCAATTTTTCATAAAAGAGAAGAACAATTTGGACTAAAAAGTTTTCACATATTCCTGCTGGTGATCCGAGAGAAATCTACATTATAAGGTATTCCTGCACTTACTAACATTTGACTTATGAACTTTCAGAGATACGAACATCTTCATGGGGGGGGTTTACCTGCTAGAGTGGGTGATTATTGTGGATGAGACTGGATAATATTGATGGACATGCCTAATAGAACATACTTTGCCTAAGAGGAGAAAAGTATGCCAGGTTTTAAGACTGTACTGTAGGGTATAACTGTACTGCTCATCCTTATTTTTTTTTCATTTTTTACAACATGCTCGTATCTACAAGAGTAAGTTGGACTTATGAGCAACCCTTAGGAATCTAACTCGTTTGTAAGTAAAGGAGCACCCGTACATGGGAAATTCCTAGTCATACAATATTTCTGCATTATCTGCTTGTAACATGAGCATGAACACCCAGAAATCTGGTTCTCAAAGTTCTGCTTTGAAAACTTTAAAGATATTAACCCACTGAGTGGCAGGGGTTTCTCTCACCTGAATAAAATCATCTGGTGTTAGCATGAATAAAAATACAGAGCTAAGTGTGACACTACTTCTTAAAGGGTCGAGATGCAACTTTTTTTTTTGCTGATTTTCCATGACCACATAAATTTTTAAATATATTTAAGACTCCACCACCACAGCCAAAACACTCCCACACCACCAACAACATCAACAGTCTTCCACTCATGGGCTAGCACACTAGGGCTCAGCCCATAGTTCAGTAACTCTTCTATCTTATATGATAACAGCCATCTCACAGAAGTAACCTTTTCTTTACAAACTGTAAGATGCAGCTTTGTCCAAAAGGAGAGCTGTTTTGACATAGCCTCATTGCTGTATACAAATGAGACTGTAGGTTATCAAGAATTTGTGAGCTCTGTAATAATGAGTCCTCCACTTCAACCTCAATCATTAACAAAGGATTTCATGACTCAATACTTGTACAGCATCCCATAATCGTAAAAATATAACGCAAGTTAAGGAGTGAGAAAGGGAAGTAAAAAATTCTATAATTGACTCCGTTGAAGAATGTCTACAGGAAGTCTCTATAATCATATAATCCTTTATCTATTCCCAGTACAGTATTTACTTGACTGCTAAGATGCTTTGATAATTTCTATAAGTTTACAAAAGTTCATTATGTTACTGATGAGTAGCTTATTTAGGTGCAAATAGCAAACTATTGAAAAAATTATTATGAAAACTCAAACCTACATCCATCATAAATCAAATTACTAATGCTATGAACAACCTAGTCTAATAAAAGATTTAACTTTAATGTTTATTTTCAGAATGCTACCAATGCAAACCCTAGTCTAGATCACAAAGTACATCAATTTATATTTATGATGGCTATATAGTTTTCATGGGTATTTAAAAAAATTCCAAATTTTTTACTTTGTACAGTACAGTACTACTGTATACCGAGGTGTTTCCTGACTACCATTTTTAAATCAATAAATAAATACAGTATTCTTTTGGGATGATATACCGATATGTATGGGTTGGGCTGAGCAGTGCGCAGGGTACTGATGACCAAGTTGCACTTTTCATACAGGTGATCAACCATAGGGTAATCTGTGTCACCCTCCAGTTGAGAAGCAATGAGTACCAAGCTGAAAAGGATATCAGACACTGCACAATGAATCATGAGATTAAAAGAATAATACAATTTATAATTTCCAACATCATCATCACCAAGTATAAAGTACTGTACTTTAATTCCAATTCTTAAAACTTTACAACAATCCTGTGCTTTAGTGCACAGGGCACGAATGTGCATGAGGCCCTAATAGAGGCAGAACTCATTATGATAATTGCAAGAAAGGGGATAGCACTGTACAGTACTGTACTTATTTCCAATTAGACTCAGCCCCTGCCAAGCACCTGAGAACTCATAGACATAACCCTCCAGTGACTAGATGAAGCCATTTCTACATTAATTTATACAGTATTCATATCTAGGTAAAGGCACCAACTACAGTTCGCCCGGATAATGATTTTTATTTCGCGGTCCTATATTATTCGCGGTCCTCTATAGCAAGTTCACATTTAAATTAATCACTCTTATAAAAATTCCAGCAATGTAAATTATATTCTCCCCGGTCACTTCTATGACATTTTACAAGCAAAAAACAAAAACTGAATCTAAAGGACATAAATAAGCAAATATATACTTTGCTAGACCTTCGGCACCAACTGTCAAACACATTGTGGGGTATGGGATGTTTGGGTTCACACTCAGGATGGGATGAAGAAAGGAAACTCACAATGTGCTCTCTGTATACATGTTGTATTGGATGTACAATGCAGCTTGGTGCTGGGAAGTGGCAGCGTGGTTACAAGCGTGATGTAGAGAGAGCTGGTTGGTGAGGACGCTCAGAGGAGGACAGCTTGTGGGTCGCCATGCTCGCCGGCGGGAGCGAGGGCTGCCAGGCAGCAGCGGAGGAGGAGGTGTAGCTTGCTGCAGCTGTAGCTAGAAGAAGAGAGAGGTCACCACGAGGTCAGGTCTTTTATAGCGGAGGTAGGCGTGGGTAGATAGTTGACCCTCGCTCCGTGGGCGGCGCTGGTTGACCTAGACCACGAGGCATACACTGTGGAATTCGCGGGGTCGGCTACTCAGTGACAAACAGCGTTTGTAGGGGAGAAATCCACTGCAATACTCCCTCCTTCCCTCCAGGCGGTGTACGAGACTTGTTGTCTGCAGGGGTGCATGGCACATGTGAGGCAGAACAGGCGGTGCATGCCACATGTGAGCCATAACGGCGATGGCGTGGATGAGCCGGCCGCTAGTGGAGGCAACTGTCTAGACACACAAGATCTGTGGGAGAAGAGAGGGAGAAAGAGGGGTGTGGAGGTGATGAATGTTGTGTTTTCCTCACGGCAGATACAGAGTAGTCAGATGCGCCTGCTAGGGTGTGTGGGCCTGGGTCAGGAGCAGGGGCTGCGTCAGCAGAAGCGGATGAGGGCTCGTGACAGCAGCTGGGTCCACGACAGCAGCAGGGTGCAGGACATTAGTAGGGAGTACCTGAGGGAGAAAAGAGGGGTGTGTGGGTCCGCACTCAGGCGCATGGGCCGCGTCGGGAGCAGGGGCTGCATCAGGAGGAGAGGCAGGGGGTACTGCTGGGCCGGGGGCGGCGTCTGAGGCAGGACAGGTGTGCTGGGGTCGGTAGGACGTGGTGCTTGGGGCAGGAAGAGCTTGTGTCTCCTTAGAGAAGCAGTGCTGCTCTAGGGTGTCTAACCTGCGGTGTAGAGACAGTAGCTGTAGAGCTGATGAGAGCTGCTTCTGGGTGGATAAGCCAGTCTTCCATGTTGCTTGAAGACTGGGAGCGTGATCTGTTTCTCCTCCATCCTGTGTGAGTGCGAATCTCCGGGGGTCACCATTTGTGGGGTATGGGATGTTTGGGTTCACACTCAGGATGGGATGGAGAAAGGAAACTCACAATGTGCTCTCTGTATACATGTTGTATTGGATGTACAATGCAGCTTGATGCTGGGAAGTGGCAGCGTGGTTACAAGCGTGATGTAGAGAGAGCTGGTTGGTGAGGATGCTCGGAGGACAGCTTGTGGGTCGCCATGCTCGCCGGCGGGAGCGAGGGCCGCCAGGCAGTGGCAGAGGAGGAGGTGTAGCTTGCTGCGGCTGTAGCTAGAAGAGGAGAGAGGTCACCACGAGGTCAGGTCTTTTATAGCGGAGGTAGGCGTGGGTAGATAGTTGACCCCCGCTCCGTGGGCGGCGCTGGTTGACCTAGACCACGAGGCATACTGTGGAATTCGCGGGGTCGGCTACTCAGCGACAAACAGCGTTTGTAGGGGAGAAATCCACTACATCACCACCTCCAGCCCTCACCCCCCCCACCCCCTCCCAGCCAGGGTTTGGTGGTTATACAGTAGGCTTTAAGTTTTTATATTACATAATATCACAGACTAAAGTTAGGAGAATATAATTTTCATTGCTAGAATCTTTGCAAGACTGTGAATAATTTGAATATAAACGTCATATATTTTGAACAAGAGATAAAAATTTTAGTACATTAGTTTAGTGCATTTTAGTAATATAGAGTTTTTCAACAGTATTTTTGGGTAGATTTACATAAGTTTCTTCATTTATTTTTATTCATTTACATGCACACACTATACTAAAAGAAACGTAAAAGAAATATATGACCTAAGTGCTGTCTTGCAAGGATTCCAGCAATGAAAATTATATTCTCCTAACTTTAGTCTGAGATTTTATAGAAGATAAAAACTGTAAGCCTAAAACTGTGCCTGGGAGGGAGGGAGGGAGGGAGGGAGTGGGGGGGGGGTGATATGTTTGGCAGTTTGAGCCGAAGGTCTCCTGTGTGTTTATTTAACAGTCCTACTAAGCTTTTCTCATTTTAAAATGCCAGTGAAATGACCTGGGAGAATATAATTAACATTGCTGGAATTCTTATAAGATAGTGATTAGTTTGAATATAAACAAGATATAATTTGCATTAGACATAAAAATTTTAGTTCTAATTTAAGAATTTTATTAGAGAGCAAAAATTTATCTCGTGCAAAATATATGACGTTTATATTCAAATTATTCGCTGTCTTGCAAGGATTCCAGCAATGCAAATTATATTCTCCCTGTGATATTATATAAGATACAAACTTAAAGCCTATTGTATAACCAGAAACCTTCGCTGGGAGGGGGGGTTGGGAGGAGGAGGAGGTTGGGTTGGGAGGGAGGGAGGGTGACAGTGACATGTTTGACAGTTACAGTTAGCACCAGGTCTGGTGAAGTATTTAATTTGTTTATTTATGTTGTTTAGTTGAGTTTTTATTTTTTGCTCATAAAATTGCATAGAAGTGACCAGGGAGAATATAATTTACATTGCTGGAATTCTTATAAAATAGTGATTAATTTGAATGTAAACATGCCATAGTTTGCACTAAACAAAAATTTTAGTAATCATTTTGTACATTATTTTGATTACATGTACAGTTCAGCTTTGCCCTTAGGACAGTGTGTGCATGTAAATGAGTTTCAATAAAGTTACATATATCGAGCCAAAAATGATAGTTGAAAAACTTTATGTAGACAGAGCTTGGATGGCTAAATTTTAGAATGACCAATACTGTATAAAAAATGCACAATTTTCTTGATATTTACTCCATTGGAAACGAATGAAAGCATAGAAAAGATTACTGAATTGGCCGAGTACCCCCTCAGCTTATCAGCTTGTACCCCACTTAACGCGGTCAATAGAACCCAGAGGGTCCCGCGTTAAGTGAAATCCGCGTTAAGTGAACAACAGAACATATGGGATTAATTCCAATAGAAACCAGCCCGACCCCCAAACTCGACTTTTTGAAGACACATAACTATGTTGTAGTAAAAATAACATCTTAATTTTATGATGGTACATGCACACAATTAATACTTAAGAGAAATAGAGAAATACAGTCGCCAAGTTAATGTCCATTCAAATCATGGACTCAACTCCCTCCCCCTCTTCTCACACTACACTGCTGGCTCTTCCCTCTGAGAAATTTTTGGGGGAAAACCACTAAATTTTAATAAATAATACCTCAAACTAAAGTTAGGATAATACAATTGACATTGCTGGATTCCTTGTAAGACCAGGAATATTTTGAATGTATAAATGTCATATATTTTGCACAAAAGATAACATATTTACTAGAGAAAACATTTTATCTAAAATTTGTATGTCTAATGCAAAATATATAATGTGTATATTCAAAATGATCACCAAATTATAAGAATTCCAGCAATGTAAATTATATTCTGGCCGGGTAATTTGTATGAATTTTATGAGCTAAAACAAATATCTTCAGTTAATAAAAAAAAAATATTCTTCACGACACTATCTGTCAATCAATGTACCCCACCTTGCCTCCCCCCTCTGCCAACCGCGCTGTCAGTCCCAACCCTCCCCCCCACCCCCCACCACTCCTCCCTTCAAGAGAAAGAGTGGGTGAAAAAAAATAAATTTTAACATTTTGTATTAAATAATACCTCAGATTAAAGTTAGGATAATATAATTGACATTGCTGGATTCCTTGTAAGACCAGGAATATTTTGAATATAAATGTCATATATTTTGCACAAAAGATAACATATTTACTAGAGAAAACATTTTATCTAAAATTTGTATGTCTAATGCAAAATATATGATGTTTATATTCAAAATGATCACCAAATTATAAGAATTCCAGCAATGTAAATTATATTCTGGCCGGGTAATTTGTATGAATTTTATGAGCTAAAACAGGCAGTCAGGCAGGGTGGCGGGTGGGGCAAATCTAAAATAGCAGACACACTCACCGGCAGATATGTGGAAAATCCGTGTTAAGTGAAAGTTCAGTTTCAGGCACCATGATATGAAAAAAATGTGTTATGAAACCGTTTTATATATATATATATATATATATATATATATATATATATATATATATATATATATATATATATATATATATATATATATATATATATATATATATATATATATATATATATATATATATATATATATATATATATATATATATATATATACATATATATATATATTCATATATATACATACAGTTTTACCCCGCTTAACGCGCTTTCACTTAACGCGTT